AACTGGATAAATAGAAATATTCATATGAAGAGGGAAAGATGAAAGAGAGTCTAAAATAAGAGAAAAAGTAAAAAAAGCAAAATAATAAGAAGTGGAATTAATTATTACCTAAATGGACTCACTAATGAATCGTGATGATCATAAAGTGGAACTTAAACTTAAAATATAAAAAACATCAAAACAGTGCAAATAAAATAAATAATAAAAACAAAAATAAAAACAAAATCCAGTGAAAAATTAAGACAACATGAAAATATTACAAATTAAATCAAATAAGTCCCGCTTTAAATCACTAAAGTTAAAAATAGAATTGAAAAAGTCGTTCTCCAAAGAGCCTTTGAAAGATGTTTTTTTCACCAATATCTGGTGAGTGCAGTATGTTATTTGAGCACTAATACATGGGTCAAAGGCTCTTTGGAGAAGGACTTTTTCAATTCTATTTTTCACTTTACTGATTTGAATTGGCACTTAATTTTTCACTGGATATTTTTTATTTTTTTAATTTTTGTTTTTATTATTTATTTTTTTTTTTGCGCTGTTTTGATGTTTTAGATTTTTTTTTTGGTGTTTACACTAATGAGCAGCAGCATTTATTTAGTAATTAATTCACGTTTTTTTTGGCGCTGGTGATTTTTTGTATATATATGGAACTTAAACTTGGCTGAATGAGAGACATTTGGTAGTTAAAGCAGAACTCCAGGGAAAGCAATTTTTCCCAAATATTGCTGTGTAAAAAAACATTTATGTATGTGAGATGTGTGCCACTTTTAGGATTACTGCCCTTTCTTTAACTTGTATTCAAATTTTTGGCCCTCAAGTACAGCACTTCACCTCTTTTCAATATTAAACCTCATTTGCCATATACTTGCCCACCCATTTACTTTATCAATGTCTTCCTGTAAAGTTGCTATATCCAGTTGTGGCGTTATTACCCTGCTTTGCTTTGTAGCCTCAGCAAACACTAAGATTGAATCATTTACGAACAAGTTAAACAGAATTGGTCCTGGAATGAGCCCTTGGACACCCCGTTCGCAACTCCAGACCAATCAGAAGATACAGTATTTATCACCACCCTTTGTAACCAGTTTTCTATCCAGGTACATAAACTATTGTCAATGTCAACAGACCTCAATTTGTAAATTAAGCATTTATGGTGAACTGTGTCAAAAGCTTTGGCGAAATCCAGGTACACCATATCCACAGGCCTTCCTTTATTCAGAGTACAGCTCATTTCCTCATAGAATGTTAACAGGTTGGCCTGACGATTTTTCATAAATCCATGCTGGATACTACTTTCATCATCAAATGTTTTCATGTGTTTTATCATTTCCTCCAATAGTTTGCATGCTATTGATGTTAGTCTGACTGGTAGGCAGTTTCTAGGTATACATTTTGGCCTTTTTTTGAATATTGGTACCACGTTAGCTTTTCACGAATCCGCTGGTACCATTCCAGTAAGTGCTTAAAGATTAGGAATAAAGGTCTGGCTCTACCATGGCTAAGTTCCTTGTGGACTTTTGGGTGTAAGCCAGTCCTGGTTATATTGCTGCCAGTTATAATGTTTCCAGCTATCTCTGGAGAACCTCGACCCTCTATCTTACAAAGTGGAGACTTGCAGGAGCGTAGAAAATATCAAACATCATTATTGTCATTATTATTATTACTAATACAGCTACAGGTTTTGTCCATAGCATTGCTCCCTAGTAATATGCTGCCCCCATGATCTGTAGTTATTCCCCTGCATCTAAAGGCTGGTAAGCTGTAAAATATAAAATTTTTGGTTTTAGATACGCTTTGAAAAGTCTCTGTAGACCAAATTCTATTGAAAAAGGTCTCTGTGGAACTTATTCTATAAAAAAAAAGGTCTCTATGGACCTTGGGTTATTCAGTCGCTGTTTTGAAGCAATGCTTTTATCCATAGCTCCCAACTTTCCCTGATTTGGAGGGGCTGTCCCTCTTGAGACCAAATCCCTCCATCCCTTGTGCAGCCTCAGTTGTTCCTCTTTTTGGTCTGATGTCTACATCTCTATACATAATATACTAATTTACTTCCAAAAGTGTTATGCTGCACCAAACCTTTTATTCAACCTATTTATCAATGCATTTGTCATTTTGACAATCCAGTATGGTTTATCCAATCATGTTCTGCACATTAGATCTTTGTGATCTGTGTAACCAAAGCCATGGAAGAGACGCGTTCTTGCCTACATACTGTGTGCCAAATGGCATCCTTCTTTATCATGTCAGAAAATTGGGAGGTATGTTTTATTGTCTGTCCCACCAATATACTTTTCTATTATCTGACAAGTTACTGCAATAAAATGGTTGTCCTTGATTGTCAGCTCTTGTCCTATCATTACCATATTACAAATACAGAATAATGAGTGAATATTATAACTAGCATAAATTGCGCACAAAACACATACATGCAGAGTGTAATCCACAAGTGATGCATAGTCGGTAATTACATCAATACAGCCACCCCATGTTGTACACATTTCTCTGATAATCAATAAGGTAAATATAAGTTAGCGCACATAAAAAGTATAGCAGCTGTGCACCAGGTAACCATAAAAAAAACCTCTAAAAGACAATATAAATCAAAAGTGCAGCGCTAGAGGAAAATCACAATATGAAAATTAAATGTATATACATCATAAATAGACAGTTCATTAGGTGACTTGAAGTGACTTCAGGTGCTCTCATGTGACTTTGTCCTCCTATGAGTAAGGTGCTGTGATATAAAGTGCGATAAGAATGCGCACTCACCAGAATGCACAATTTAATGAGCGTTTTGTTATATTTTTCTTGATGTCATCTGCCAATCTGGATACTATCTGGAGTCCGGTATATTCCCTCCTGTGGTCCTGGATGCTGTTAATGGGACATCAAGGTGGTCCGGAGCTCCCCTCAGGTAATAGCTTTGGTACTGCCCTCTGGAGATTGTAAAAGCTCCCTCTCCGATGGTTAGGTGGGTAGCTGCGAATTAATACTCCCCAGGGGAGTTAAAGCAGAGACATCTCCATAGTGTAGTAATATATAGCATTTATTGAGGCATATGCGAGTTTCCTTATAAAAAGGAGCAGGTTAAAAACAATGTGGACTGACCATCCAGAGTGTAAGATGGCCGCCGGAGCTCCACGATGCTCCGGCGGCGTGATGTCACGGCATTGTTGGCTCCTCCTACACGTTTCATGCGCACGCACGTCATCTGGGGGGATTTGCCAGATTGGCAGATGACATCAAGAAAAATATAACAAAACGCTCATTAAATTGTGCGTTCTGGTGAGTGCGCATTCTTATCGCACTTTATATCACAGCACCTTACTCAAAGGAGGACAAAGTCACATGAGAGCACCTGAAGTCACTTCAAGTCACCTAATGAACTATCTATTTAATGATGTATATACACCTAATGAACTGTCTATTTATGATGTATATACATTTAATTTTCATATTGTGATTTTCCTCTAGCGCTGCACTTTTGATTTATATTTCTCTGATAAGTAATAATACTTTAAGTGTATAGCAGAAAAATACAACACCACATTATTACCAAACACTGGATTACGGTTCAAGGTTTTATTGCAGCGTATTGTATAGCTAGAAACAACTAAGGTTGTGGTGGTGACAAGACAGCAACACTGTTCGTCCTGCTGACAGGGATGTCCCCTGCTGTCTGAAAGCTGCTTTCTTGTCTAGCGCTGATTCTCTAGGCGTGCTGATCTGCAATGTCTGGCTGTCAGATTCACACTTACTCCCGAGAAGAAAATTCCTATTAGTGTGTTTTATTTAACCACATGAATGCCAGTGACTGCGCCTGTATCCATTCCAGGACTCGCCCAGGGCTCCATTGTTAGTACAACTTTGGACTTTATAAAGCTAGCAAATAGACAGTTTGATTTTTGCTCATTCACCTGCAGGCTGAACAAGATAAAATCAATCTATCCCCCATCCACCTTAAGTCTACATGCACACTGGACATTTTTACAGCGGCTGTTTTTGGCTTTTAACGCTTTTTCTACAGCCAGTAAACTCCCCAGCATGTTATCCTATGTGTCCATGCACACATAGACTGTAATCAACGTTTTTTGGCAGGGACGTCTTTTATCTGGAAAAAAAAACCCAGGACTAGTAGGTTTCTAGAGGAGTTTTTTTAGCTGTAAAAACACTGTAATGCTGAAAAACGCAGCAAAATGCGGTAAAACGCCACAAATCGGCATTTTTGGACTTTTTTGACCAAAGAAAAAAATTTTTTTTTTGGTAAAAAAAAAACAGCTAAAAACACAAAGATAGAAAAATGCAGGAAAACACTGCTAATCGCAGAAAAAAAACACAGCTAAATGCTAATGCAAAAACACTAAAAAAAGCTAAAAAAATTAACATTTTTAACGTGACTTTACACAGCCAACGTTACCAGCAGGGCCGGACTGACCATTTGGAAACTCGGGAACTGCCCGAGGGCCCGGGGTCAGTAGGGGGCCCCATGAGATGCCCCTGGTACCTTTTTCATAGGCTTTTTTTGAGTTTGGGCAAGGACACAGGGGCTCCATGATCCCCTATTGCCCGTGGGCCCCATGAGTTGTCAGTTCACCCCTGGTTACCAGCATTATCAAAATGCCCCGTGTGCATGAGGACTAACAGCTTAGATGGGGGAATCCCCAGTGATGGCTATTGTATTTAGGAAGCAGGGCTAAATAAAATGGCACTGCAAAGCAGTGATTGTATTTGATAGGATGAAGTTACTGTTTGGCCAATAATTTTGCACTCGACTCAGTTATTATGTTATTATTATACAGGGTTTATATAGCGCCAACAGTTTACGCAGTGCTTTACAACATGAGGGCAGACCAGGGGCGGAATGACAACTCATGGGGCCCCCGGGCAATAGGGGATCATGGGGCCCCTGTGTCCTTGCCCAAACTCAAAAAAGCCTATGAAAAAGGTACCAGGGGCATCTCATGGGGCCCCCTACTGACCCGGGCCCTCGGGCAGTGCCAGAGTTTCCCAATGGTCAGTCCGCCCCTGGAGCAGACAGTACAGTTACAATACAAATGAATACAGGCGGATTCAGAGGGCCCTGCTCATTAGAGCTTACAATCTGACCCCTGGTTCACATATATGCGGCCATGCCCCATGACAGTCCATTTGAATGGACTCCCGTGCGCCGTGGCACGCAGGGAAGAATTCCCTGCAGTTCTTCTGAAAACACAGCCCACACGGGAACCACAGTTCCCAGTACGGTTGCGTTTTCCAGTGCAGACGGCGTGCCATTAGTACTAATGGCACCCGCCTGCGGGTCCGCATTCCTCTGTGTGGGTGGTGCAGCTGCATAGATTTTCGTGCGGATCCGCAGCAGCAGCACCCGCACAGATGTGAACCTAGCCTAAAAGTTGATTATTAAATGACTTTTGTTGGGCTGGGTGGTGCTTTGGCCACCTATGGCTCACATTTCAGCTGCTTTAGCAGGAATTTCCCAAATTTTGAGCCGTCTGTGGACATCTGTTAAAGTTGACCTGTGCTCTAAGCCTGGGTTCACACTAATGAAGTGCGGTATATCGCATGTGATTCACACAGCAACCGCACCGCATTCCTATGCAAACCACATGCGATTTGTTTCTGGTGCAATCGGAGCCATACATTATGTATGGCTCAAATCGCACCACACCCGCACCAAAAAAGGTGCAGGACCCTTTTATGGGTCCGCACTAGAATCAGATCGCATGGGTATTCACACCTATGCGATCCGATTCTGCACATTGCACTGCTTTTTGCGGACCGATTTCAGGGTGTTGTTAACGTAACATACACACCCGCATCAGTTCACATGAACGGGGTGCGATTCTGATGCGGTGCAGAATTTGCACAGAAAACACTGCGAATTCCACATCGCATTTGTGTGAACCCAGACTAAAAGCGAAGAATTGCTTTCTTATAGGGAACATCTAAAAATGTTAGCATGTAACTAAATGCAGGTGCGCACTGACCATTTGGAAACTCGGGCACTGCAGGAGGGCCCAGGGTCAGTAGGGGGCCCCATGAGATGCCCCTGGTACCTTTTTCATAGGCTTTTTTGAGTTTGGGCAAGGACACAGGGGCCCCATGATCCCCTATTGCCTGGGTTGTTAGTCCACCCCTGACTAAATGCAAACTTTTTTTTCAGAATTGAATAGAGTGGTGAGGGGATAGAACCACCGTCATGTTTTTATTGCTGTCCGAATCCCCATAAAGGAGATTCCCTCTCTCTGTCTTGAACGCCAATATCATCTCAGATTAAAAGTGATGAGTAAATCCAAAATTTTAAGTTGCTACCAGGATAGGAGTAGGAAATTGTGCCTGTGACAACTGTCTAAGGCCGCATTCATACAGGTGAGGGCTGTCTTTGCTGGCATGGGATGCGCAGGTGTTCTATTCATCCCCGTGCAGGCAGTCCCATTCATGTCTATTGGGATGCAGCGTTTGCTTTGGAAACAGCCACGGCTCCCAATTTGACATCCAAGTGGGTCCAAGTGCATGTACACAAACATGTTTTCGTTCGGGGACACGCACTCACACAGATGCCAAATTGGATTGAATTGCCGCCGCTGCTTCCCAATTATCATGAATAGGATTGCCTGAATGGAGATAATAAGGCCCTCACTCAGCAGTAAGCTGATATGAATGAGGTCTAAGGCTAGGTTCATACCTATGCAGTTTGCGTTTGAGCCATGTCTGCAGTGCGTTTTGCATTTTTCACATGCATTTTTGATGCATTTTGGGTTTTTTTTTTCTTATTGCTAGGCAGATTAAAAACAAAATGCAGCAAAAACATGTTAAAAACGCAGCAAACATGCACTACATGCTTTTCTGCAGCATTTCCATTGAAGTCTATAGAACCAAAAACGCTACTTTTTGAGTTTAAAAAAGTCCTTGACCCTTTCCAAAAAATGCACCGGATGTGAACGTGTCCCATAGGAAATCATGTTAAATGGACTGCAAAACGCTGCGGAAAACACTTAGGTGTGAAACCTAGGGTAAGAGGGGATTCCCCACACAACTAAGGCCGGCTATACAGTTGTGGCCAAAATTATTCAACCCCCAATGCTGTAAAGGGGTTTAGGGACTATAGTGTACATTTGGAATTGTATTCAGAATCAAATCCTACAAGGACGTTGTAAACTACCCAAATGCAACTAAAAATGACATCAATTGTTTATGTAATACAGTAGTAAATGGTTCTTATGTGGTTTCTTCATTGCCACAATTATTCAACCCCTTAAAGACTACCACTCTGAAGAAACAGAGGTTCATACAGGTGCTTTCCATCAGGTATTGAAAACACCTGTGGATGTCAGACGAGCAGCAATCAAGCATAATAAGCACCAATTAGGCAGCTTTAAAATGACTGTGATACTCAGCTCCTTCTAGACATTTACTGGTGTGGTTACAAACATGGTGAAGGCAAGAGAATGGTCCAGGAAGACAAGAGAGAGAGGTTTGATTTCTCTTCACAGGAAGGGCAATGGCTATAAGAAGATTGCAAAGATGTTAAAAACATACACAAGAGACACCTTAGGAAGCATCATTCGCAAATTCAAGGCAAAGGGCACTGTTGAAACGCTACCTGGTCGTGGCAGAAGAAGATGCTGACTTCGAAACTGCTGTGCGCTACCTGAAGCGTAGGTGGAGAGAAGTCCCCGTGTGACTGCTGAGGAACTGAGAAAAAGATTTGTCAGATGTGGGTACAGAAGTTTCAGCCCAGACAATAAGACGCACACTGCGTAATGAAGGCCCTCCGTGCCAGAACTCCCAGGCGTACCCCCTTGCTGTCTCCAAAGAATAAGAAGAGTCGACTGCAGTATGCCAAAAGCCATGTGGACAAACCACAAAAGTTGTGGGATAGTGTTCTGTGGACTGATGAAACAAAATTAGAACTGTTTGGGCCCATGGATCAACGCTATGTTTGGAGGAGGAAGAACAAGGCCTATGATGAAAAGAACACCTTGCCTACTGTGAAGCATGGTGGAGGGTCAATCATGCTTTGGGGCTGTTTTGCTTCTGCAGGTACAGGGAAGCTTCAGCGTGTGCAAGGTACCATGAATTCTCTTTCAGTACCAGGAGATATTGGATGGAAACGTGATGCAGTCCGTCACACACCTGAGGCTTGGGAGACGTTGGACCTTTCAACAGGACAATGATCCCAAGCATACTCCAAGTCCACTAGAGCATGGTTGCAGAGGAAAGGCTGGAACATTTTGGAGTGGCCATCGCAGTCACCAGACTTAAATCGATTGAGAACCTCTGGTGGGACTTAAAGAAAGCAGTTGCAGTGCGCAAGCCTAAGAATGTGACTGAACTGGAGGCCTTTGCCATGAAGAATGGGCGAAGATACCCGTAGATCGCTGCAAGACACTTGTGTCAAGCTATGCTTCACGTTTAAAAGCTGTTATAACTGTAAAAGGATGCTGTACTAAGTACTAAGATTGAATGTCACTTGGGGGTTGAATAAAACTGATAATGCTGTGAGCACAGAAAAGACATTTGTGGTTATTTCATTATAACTGTTATGTTATATTTGTCTGACCTACAAGTGCCTCTTTTAATGTAAATGTAAGCAAGATGACTGAATGATCAAAAGCAATGTCAAACTGGCCAACAACACTCAATTTCAGTGGGGGTTGAATAATTTTGGCCACAACTGTACATGGGTCGATTTTTTCGAAATGAGTTTTCGTTCGAAAATTGGACCTAAGAATAATCGGCCATTTTTCGCTCTGTAGTGGGGCAATGGCACCGGCTGATTTTCGTGGTTCCTCCCCATTTCATTTATCGGGCATGCTGGAAAATTTGTAAAAAACAATCAATTTTCTAAAATCATTGGTGGCACCATTGGATTACAGAACGAACAATGTTTTCGATTTTCAAACGAAAAATCGTTCGGATTTCAGGACCCATGTATGGCTTGCTCAAACAGATTATCCTCTTATGTTCCCTTGAATCTTCAAGACAGAAAGTGAAGGTATATCTTCCTAATGAGACAAAGGGGGGCAGAAAAATATTTAAATTAATGGCAGTTTTAACCCTCCCCCATGCTGTTGCTCAAAATGAGAAAAAATTAAGCTTTGACTTTAGACATACTTTAATTGTGCATAAGGTATTACACTAAAAGATTTACCTTCTATCTTGAGTAAAATAATTATAATAATTAATATAGTGTCAAAATACATTTTTATAATATATATCTTAAAAATGAATAAAAGAAAAGCAGTTCAGTGTCCTTGGGAACTCCTGTGGCTAAATCCTCCTAGCTGTATATCTGCAGTGTGGAGATAGGTCTACTGCACTGCTATGCCTGCTGACTGTTAGTCTCACGGTATATAAAGTGGATCTTTAGTCTGCAATAGAAGTTCCCCCTGTATGATAGCTCACCTTAAAGCAGTGGTTCTCAACCTTCCTAATGCCGTGACCCTTTAATACAGTTCCTCATGTTGTGGTGACCCCCAACCATAACATTATTTACCAGTAATTATAATTCATGAGTGTCGTTTTACCTCCAATACTGCTGCTTTCAACACAGTAGCTGCTTTTAACAGAGTAGCTGCTTTCAAACACAGCAGCTGCTTTCTACACAGTAGCTGCTCTTTACACATCGGAAATATGTGTTTTTCTGATGGTCTTAGGGGACCCCTGTGAAAGGGTCGCTTGACCCCCAAAGGGGTCGCGACCCACAGGTTGAGAACCACTGCCTTAAAGCCATATCAAACCCCAAAAGAAAAACATTACTATATTGCAGCTTATTGATTCTTAGATGCGATGGCTGCATTAGTTGTTTCTTTATCCTTTATTTTCACCTGGTGATCTGATCAGTTATCTCTGTTATTTTTCAACTTAATTTAACTGACCAAGCTGTTCAGCAAATGAGTACACGTTAGAGGGTTGAGACAAACCATTTTACACTGAGAGTACACAGGGGTGCTTACAATGATCAGCTTTCATTCACTTATGTAAAAACCTTCATCCAAATGAAAACCAGAAACGGTTGTAATTGCTTAAATTATTTTTAGCTTCCAGAAATGCCAAAATCTGCTGTTAACTCTGCCAGGGTGACACCATTCACTCCATTATTCAACACTCTCGCGACACCTGCGCCCAGGGGCGGACTGACAACTCATGGGGCCCCGGGCAATAGGGGATCATGGGGCCCCTGTGTCCTTGCCCAAACTCAAAAAAGCCTATGAAAAAGGTACCAGGGGCATCTTATGGGGCCCCCTACTGACCCTGGGCCCTCGGGCAGTGCCCCGAGTTTCCAAATGGTCAGTCCGCCCCTGCCTGCGCCACAGGCATCATTCACATGTGCCCATCAAAGTCTGTATTGAAGCACAGGCATCTTGAATAGTCCTCCTTCTGTACC